TTCTTGAAAACAGAGTTTAGAAATGCAAGTGAACATGCTCTTGGACTTTGGACCGTCAAATATTGCACTCTATCTCTGACACACAAAAAAGGGTTTTCGACGAGTATAAACATGTAATATATTATAATAAAATAATATATATATAAAATAAAAATATATATACATAACAATGTATACATACATATATACATATATTGTTTTTTTCTTTTTTACAAAAGCTACCCACCCAATATTATCCACGGTGCCTCTGTTCATACATTACTCGTTTTTTGCTCTTAACAAACACAGTCACCCTCTTCCCCCGTTTTTTAACTTCAATGCGAATCTAAGGGAAATGTGAATATTGAATATCATTGTGCCTCCGTTGCGAGATGCTGGCTTCATGGATGAGTAAAACCGACAAAACAGAAGGAGCTGTCAGAGGACTCTATGACTTCAAGGCAGATTTAGAGTTTAGGAGTGGTTCAGGCTGAAATCCCTCCTGGCTAAGATAAAGTGGAGACACAAACCGAAGCGTGCCGTATAGCCCACGCATTGTGTGTATGAAGATTAGAAATGAGGAAATGAGAATTGACTGAGGAGAAAAACTCTTCGCCTAGACTCCACCAGACAGCCGCAAAGGGATAAAACCAACATGGAGCGCACGCTGAGCACATGCTAAACAAACACAAGCCATGATAGCAGCTCAGTGGGACCACAGAAGTGCTTTTCAGGCCACACACACACAGCATGGCGCCATGTTCTTGGTTGGCGGCTTGAAAAAAGGTCAGGCAGACACACACCGTGGGCTTCGTCAAGACAAGAGAAAAGACGGAGGGAAGCGAGTGCTGAATGTAAGCTGGAATCTATTGCAGCAGTAGTCTGGCCGTCCCTCAGCCAGCCAGCGGGGCTGCGCCGAGGGATTAACAGTGTGGCCTGCATGGGCTCCGGGTAATCTCTCCTCTCTTCTTACATAACACTGGGACATTAGTCAGCACAAACGCACAATAAACAACACAATCAACAACGCCGAGCTCGACAGCGGGCCACACAGAAGCCCGATGAGACTACAAAACCGGAGTTTCACTGGTCCCGGGTGCTGACGATGTGCGCGATGAGTGATTTCATGGAAACAGTGGAAAACAGTGATTTGGTGAAAGGAGCTGTGCGCCAACCTGCTGTCTCTGACTGAGGATGGTGCTGCTGGTTCCCAAATAGACTCCCTCGTCAATCAGTAGGAAACATGCCAGCTTCTATTTGCCATAGCTGTTCATTGTTGTTGCGGTTTGTGCCATCTCCTGGTAACACACGTGTTTGATGTTGACTTACTGTTGAGGATTTTAGTCACCTTTTGGGATTCTTTATATCTTTATATCTCTCTCATTGTTATCCAAACTCCTCTACAACGCATTTTTAAGCAAGAAATATTTAAAAATGGTTTATAATGTACCGCAGCGTAGTTCTAAGCAGATATAAGGTATACGTGTTTATTAGTGTATAGTAATTGTAAATAATTATAACTTCTCCTATGTAGACATATGTTATTTAATTGCAACCGTGCTTTACTAGACGGTCATTCACTATCTGTTTATTAAACCATGCATTAGTGTAAGGCAGGAGTTATAGTTACATTACATTAGTAAACACATCAAATAATTTAACTGTAATAAAATGCTAAATGTTTGCTCGTAAATTCTAAATATGGTTGATACAGTACCAATCTCTTACATACGCATTGACCAGTTTCTAAAAATGTTCTAAGAAATAATAGGAACAACAACAAAAACATTTTTTTTTTAAAGTTTTTTAAAGGGAAATAGGAAATTTCTGCTTCTGGCTCCTGATCTAAAAGTTCTGTACATTTACCCGTGCCAGTTATGTGCTATAGATTTATCTAAACAGACTGCTTCCGTTGGCTTTGACAAAAAAATTGATCCCGGGATGCTTTAGAATCTGACAAATCAATGCTAACACAACCTCCAAAGCAAAGCAGGATTGGACTAATTATATTGGCATGAGGCCGTCATGCGTAGTATTGTGACGGTTTGTGTGTGCCTGCATGCGTCTTTACTGCTTTCTGTGTTTGTATGAGGCCACATACCATCTCCCGAGGTAATATGAAGGATTTTTAAATTGTAATAACCACTAATGATGTTGCTTTAGATTTAAGCCTAAACATTTTTCTGTACTCTTATTTTTTACACCGCTCGTCATCACCTTGCTGGTTTCTTGCTCTTTCACACTCACACACGCTCCCATGTGGAAGCAGCATGGGAGATTGTGATTGATTGATAACACATATTGTTATCAGAGGAGATGAGAAGGCGCCGTGAAGCACTCCTCCCCTGTTGCTCCCTCCACAGCTGAACTCTTTGACCCGTCTGAACCGGTGCGTCTATTTGGCAAATGAGCTCTTAGGCTTATTCAAGTATTAGAAAGGTTAAAGGGTAGAAATGTAAGGAAACTAGGAAACAATGCCCGTTACATGTTGGGAAAACCAATCAACCAAGTTTCTGTCATTTTTATGCCCCCTTAGGTTGTGTTAAAACAGAAGAGGCGCTACGCTCATATTGAGTGTTTACAAATTAAACAATAAGTAGAAAGAAGTTGATAATATTTTTTTTTTCATTTTTGGACTTACAACATTTGAATCTGAAGATGATGATTTCTTTTTTAAATCTAACTAAGGTAACATTTTTAGAATTTGTTTTTATTTTGATATATATGCCCTTTCTTTTTTAGAGGAACTGTGAAGATTTTATTCACAGTATCATCATGTTGCCGTTGAAAATACAAGAAGAATTACCTTGTTAAGAAATTTTACACAACACTGAGCAATATTGAGGAACCCTCCTCCCCCCCCCCCCCCCCCCCCAAATAGGCACTTTTTACGAGGCCCCGATGATAATAATATGGGTTATTTGGCTATTTCCTGGTCAGGCGATGTGGTGACATCATCTTCGGTTAGGGCTTTAGGAGTTGTAGCTATTGTTAAATGATAATTACCACGGCTCATGAGGGGCCTCTATTTTTTATAACCTTGTGGTTGTGAGCACATTTGTGTGTAAGGGCAGCCGGGACTCTCCCCCCCCCACACACACACACACACACAGACACACACACACAGGTTGAGAGTGGGGGCCGCACGGCCCACACTGATTTAATTCTATCTGACAAAACCCTTTGGGGCGTGCAGGGAGAGAGAGGAAGATGGAGAGAGAGAGAGCGAGAGAGGGAGAGGGAGAAAGAGAGAGACATGGCGAAAGAGGGGTGAGAGATGCTTCAGGGGCCTCTTCTGCCACTACTATAAAGTGAAAGCAGGAGCATTTGGTGTACCCCCCCCAAAGCCTCCAATGCACAAGAGTGGTCGCAAGGTCCATTAAAATGTGGTAAAAATACGAGGGGCACGACATAGGAGTTTGCCATGGGATAAGAGAGAGCAAGAAAGAGGGAGAGATGGGAGGTGTTTGGCCTTCCCATGTTTTGGTTGCCTGAGGTTTGATGGCCTGAAGCTGTGGTGTCAGGAAGCTTTATATGACATTCAAAAACACAAAAAGTGTCAGAAAACAGATGGAAACAGATGCATGGACAATAGTTAGGTCGTTTTAGCTAAATGTTTGAACTTTTATTTTGATTCAAATTTGAATCCATAAAATAGTATTTTATTTGAATTACTCCACCGTTTATCCTAACTATGAATTATGATGTAAATTACAATATGAAGAAAAAATAATTTAAATAATAAAAGTGGCCTATTATTTATCATCTGATAATATACAAAACTATAAATCCGATTACAATATGGCCATAGTCCAGTATAAAAAGTCAGTAAAGTCATGTGTTTTACTTTGAAGAAACTATATTAATTTGACATCTTGTGTTTTTCTTTTACGCAATATTAGGGGAAGATTTATGTGAAAAAATGAACGTCGCTTCCTTCTCCAACTGGATGTCACAACACATAGTTTAGATGAGTTTAATTGCTTCAACCGTCAGAGGGGCAGTGGAGGTTCAACAGAGATTTAATTCTAGATCATCCGGTTGAACGAGAGTTACAACTCTGCGTCCTTGATAATTGCAACTAAGAGCAGCACATAATTAAAAATGCCAACACACTCAGCTGATAATAATCAGGTGAAAAATTAAAGAGTTCATAAAACGAACGATACAATGCAAATACCGATGGAGAACCAACGAATGGATGCATTCGACTGATTTAAAGGTAATTTAAATATAACTGTAAGGAAATACTATGTGGTAGTAGAAGGAGTTGTTAACCGGTCAGTGTGTGTATGTGTGTGTGTGTGTGTGTGTGTGTGTGTGTGTGTGTGTGTGTGTGTGTGTGTGTGTGTGTGTGTGTGTGTGTGTGTGTGTGTGTGTGTGTGTTTGAGTTTCCTGATAGAGGAAGAGAGAGGGTGTGTTTCAGGACGACATTGACGTTGCATTTCAACATCCCCGGCGTGGTGCGTAACGTTACAGAAATGTTAGTGGAGCGCGAGTGAAAGTCTCCAATCGAAGTGTTTTACCCTAGAAGATAACGAAATAAAGTCGTTCTTTTGCCACAGCGCCTGATCTGACCTGGTGGAAACCCATCGCAGTTTCCCATTAGTGTGCAAGGGAGCGCGGGAGCTAAAATGATTAAAGCTTTGATCAGACCTCATGCGCCACTTTTAATTTGCAATCACAGATTCCACTGGCTTTGCGCATGATTTTTGCAAAGCTGTCGGCCTGCCTTTTGACACACACACACACACAAACACGCACACACAAATATACTCAAACTTATAAAACGCACGCAGAGAACCCAAATAATTGTTTGTAAGTTTACAGCGTGAGGTGCTGAGACATGGAGACAAAACCGCGTCTGTGCCAAAAAAACCTCGCTGAATAAACTTGTATGGCCAAAAGTGTTATAAAGCCCGCCGCGCAACGTGTGCGTGCATGCGCGTGTCTAGCGGGATGAAGCTTTGGGGGGTGGAGGTGGTGGTGCGGCGGTGTTTGGAGCAGTGGGATGGTCTTACCTCGCATGGTGTTGCCGTTGCTGGAGCTGGTGCTGAGGCTCGCTTCCCAAAGCAGCAGTCATGAAGAAACAAACATAAACACTTGAAACGGGAGGGACGGGGCGGGGGAGCTGAGGGGAGGGGGGTCAGGGAGGTGGTTGGCTGCCGGGGGGGGAGATCCTCCGTTCAAAAAAATAACTACAACAACGAAAAGAGTGTCGGCGATCTGCTTCTGACGTCCACGCGCTGCCCTGAGTGGAGGCGTCGCTGCGCTAAAAGCATCCCGGAGCAAAGCGCAGGGAGTCGGGCTGAGGTCGCGCGGTGCGTCGGTCGTTGCGCTCTGGCGGTGCGGTCGCTTTCCTCATGTCATCTGCGCTCTCACCTCTGTGGGAGGGTTTCACTGTTTTCTGCGGGCTGAGGGAGGAAAGAGCGGATAGGAGAGGCTTTACCCGGCGGCCGTGATTGGACTGGAAGCACCATCCGCTCCTCCCACTCTCTCCTTCTCAGCCTCCAGCCCGCAGCCTTTGCGCGCACGCACACACAGGCTGAGCGCACATCGCTGCCACAGTAGCGAACACTGACAGTCACAGCAAAGTTTTAATGTCATTCTTCACATTTGGTCAGCTCGATGCAAATTAGGAGGTTTGCACACAGAAGCAAGTGTCTCTTTAATCTGGTCTCATATCCGGGAGGCTACATAGATCTTACATTCTGCATAGTGGGGATCATTTGGTCCAGTTAAAATAAATGAATAAATAGTGTTTTTTTTTACCAAACGGATTTCGAATACAATGTTTGGTGGCTTGATAAAGTGCGTCAACTGGTTCAAGGTAATTTATGGATTACTGTAATACTGCTGTCAATTGCATGGCCTTCTGATGGAAACTCCAGCAGAAAATGTAACAATATGTGCACAAAACATGAGATAATGTATTGCTTAATTATTATTTTTTAAGGTTAAACAGTGATGGTGTCTTATCATTACATCGCAGATTTATAACCGCAGCATAATATAGTGATCACAAGGGTACTAGACCCTGTTCATCGAGCCAAAGAGAAAACCCACCAAGTTCCTTTGATCCAAAACGGACACCTGGTGACCTCTTGTGTTCCGCCCAGTGAAATATGAGTAAAATGTGAATTATCATGTCCTGAACGGGCAGAAGTGACTGTCTGTCCTGTGCTGAAAAGTGCCACCGTTGTCACACGCGGTTATCGTCACACCCGGCGTTCAGCGTCTGTCAATAGTGTTTTTCTAAGAAACTAACACAGCCTCAGCTCCTGCACATCTGCATGGATAGAGGCAGGTGCGGATGGGAGGCACTTTCACCCCCAATTTCTTTTACCCTCTTTAGCTGTGGCCCAGGGAGAGAGAGCAACAGAGAGAAACGGAGAGAGAAACTGCCCCGAGCACATCTCCACTGACCTACATTTCATCTGTCGCTTTTTTCCACTCTACCAATTTTTTCATCTCTTATTTCTCCTGAACCAACAGCTCCATAATTGTGATGTAATGACCGAAGCAGGCATGGTAAAATCCCAGACTGGTCAGGATGAAACACTCTTGAGGACAGACAGAAAGAAGAAAAAGATAAAGAAAAGAGACAGTGTCAGACAGACAGGAGGGTGGAGGAGGAGGAGGGGTCGATATAGCTCTTTAAAATGCAATAAAAGTTTCATCCCTTTTTTTTTTTTGTCAACGCAATAAAATGTGTCCTTATACGATCTGTGTGCTGTGTGTACTTCTATCCATCTGAGGGCTGGGGACTCCATTAAGAGGGATTACCTCTCACTGCCAACTATTTACTGCCTGCCGAAAAGCCACAGAGATAGCAAGAGAAATTACTTTAAACATGAACGAATATGTGCATCGTCTGGTGAGCGAAGGGAAGCAGAGGAACACGGAGGCTTTGTTGGATGCAATGACTGGACTGAGATAGGCGGCTATGTCCATATGGTGGTTAGAGGGAGGAAGGGAGCAGGAGAAGCAGACCGGGCCACGCCTGAGGGCTGAACTCGGCAGCACTCTGCGCCGAGATGGGTTCTTACTTCCTTCTGCTGTTACGTTTTTCGTTGTGCATTTCTATTGTCTGCCTGATTGCCGTTAACATCCCACTGTCTGTCTACCTGTCTGACGGACTGTCAAATCTTCACTGATTGATCTTGTCCATCACGGCTGTTTTTTTTTCATGCTTCCATGTATGTTTGTTTATTTCAGAATGCCTTCTCTCTTACTCGTCTTTCATCCGTTCTATTGCCCCGATGGCAGCGTGGCTCTGGGCATGGCCATGTTGACCTGTCGGACTGTCCACCACTTTCATCCGGCCTGAATTCTAATCTATTTTACTTTGGTTTATGATAAAATACAGGGGGAAAAAATATATGACATTACCATCAGACTCAGAGCCGTTTCTCAATAGTGTCAATTAGCAAATTCTAGCATGTTGTTAAACCTCACAGAGCCGTTAGCATGGGTGGAGACTCCTACTGAGAGTCCAAGTCACAGGCCGGCAGCAGGGTTTGGGAAGCCTGGGATCAAAATACTCATTGTCACATACAAACGTATGCAGCAAAATGCTTGTAGTGTACTGAATCACATTAAAATGTACCCAGATCAGCTCTTTTTACCAACCCTCCGGATCAGACTGGGGCATCTCTAGTAGACCCGCAATTTAATTAAAATGGATATCTGTTCTCTCAAACACACGTGAGACGTTTAATTATTTTCTACTTATTTGTATTTGTACAACATTGAATGCTGGCCTTGTTTAATGGAAATCCATTGGCAGTCGCTTCATACTTTCACTACAGTTACCCCCTATAGGGTGGAATGTGATTAGAGTTTAAACCACCTTGCTGAATTAATCTGCATCATAAGGCTATTTCATTTAAACAAGACATGATAATCAATGTCAATTGAGTTTTAATGAATGCATGCAAGACAGATTTGATTTTATGTTTGAGTTCTGATATAATGCAAAATTATATTAACACAATATGAATATACTCAAACACAACCAGAGCTAACTCACCGGATTATTGTAAACTGCTATAGTTTCTCAACAACAAATCCAAATTATGATCAAGCTGCTGTGTGGCAGAGCACACCATCGCAGAGATATGATTGTGTGAAGAAACCCAAAAGAGAGAAAACAACTAGCCCGAGGAGAGCAGGGTGTGATAGCCTTGTTTCTGTTAAGGTTGTTCAGTTCTGCCCTTGAATAAACCACTAGGAAGTTAACTTATATATAATTAGATAAGTTTCCTCTTGAAAATAAGAAATTAGGCCACAGGTCTCTGAGGAATCTCCCTCTCCAATCTGACGTTTCATGCTGCCTCTTATTTTCCCCTGAAACAAGCAGGTGATTTTTCACTGTGAGACTGTCTGCATGTGTGTGTGTGTGTGGGCATCAGCATGTGTGTGTCTGTAGCTTTGTGAGTGCAGTTGTTTGTCCCCGCACGCGGCTGTTTGTATGCGAGCATGAGGAACACCTCAGAGGTCTTGCTGATGCGAGTAAAGAGTAAAGAGTTGTTCCTCGTATATATTTGCCTCTGTGTAAAGTGACATTGACACATTGACGTGTCAAGTGAGAACTCAAGGAAAGAAATGGAGCGCCGAGGAGAGACGAGGCGAGATGAAAGATGGAACGAGGAGGACGGAGAGAGGAGGAGGGATTGAAAATACACTTGAGAAATTTGCCGAGAGATACCACAAGTGACACAGGCAATTTCTGAAGAAAAATTACTTCATCATAATTTCAATCCCAAAAAGAATTGAAAGGAAAGCCCTGAAGGATGAAGGTCAAGTCACCTTGAGAAGCATTAAGGGAAACACTCACACACACACACACACACACACACACACACACACACACACACACACACACACACACACACACACACACTGTTCTGTGGATATGACACAGTAAAATCATTTGTGTTAATGCAAATGCAAAAAAATTCTTCCAGTAATGAGTTACTCCATTATATGTATTCAGTCACTTTGTCAGAGCCCTTTTTGATGCTTCAGTGTTGTACATCTGTGTTAAGTGCTTAGAGCCTGTGGTATATCAGAGTTAAAAATATACAACCTATTAGTCTGGCTGGTACTATTACTAGCATCATCTAATCAAAGCTTTATATAGAGCCAGTGGTTCAGACAAACAGTTTCATGTCTCTACCTCACAGTGCCAATCATCAGATTTTAATTGGATTTCTCTATTATCTGTTTTTTTCCTCACACAAAGCCATTAAGATATTAAATCTAGTTTTACTTTGAGTCAGTCATTCCCCCCTTCTCTCCTTGCTCCTCTTAATATATATATATATATATATATATACATTTTTTCTTTCTTTTTTCGGTCGGCATATTGAATATGCCCTGTAGCCCGAGGCTCTCTCTCAAAATAATTTAGTCGTCGTTGATTTCTTTGGGAGAGCTTAATAAACGTTGACGTAGAAATGGGGAGGAAATTGCAAACTGGGACTGTTCGAGGCTTTCATGTTCAGGGCTACTTGATAGTTATGTTGATTTTCTGAAGTGGTTCTTAATGATATAAACCAACAGAGGATACGGCAACCGCTTTGCAAATCAGTGTCTTAATTTAATATTCACTGATGGTTTGCAAAAGATCGGTTGGTTGGAGGAGAGACACTTAAAGACAGTCTTTGTTGAAGACGACCAATTAAACGGTTTGTCCGATTTGAGGGTGTGTGCCGTAGAAATATCAGACCCTCGACTGTTTTAGGAAATTTGAAATCACATTTTAATCTCCAGTTTCCACTTTAAGCTTTTTTTTCTTTTTTATTCTCTTGAGGCATCACTAGCTTGATTTACAATAATCCCTAATATCAAAACAGACAGATGTATCCTTCATAACCACCTCTTCTCCTAACCCTTGACCTCTGACTCCCACCCATATATCTGTAGGTGTCCAGTCAAGGGGGGGCTTTTCTAGAAGACCAATAATGGAGCCTTGGGGGACGCCACCAAGAGATCCTCTTACTGTCTGTCGCACAGGGCCAGCACTAAGCACCATAATCTAAAGCGAGGGGAGTGACCGTGTGTGTGTGTGTGTGTGATGATGATGGAGTGGGGATGGGTCTGGACTGAATGTTTTTTAACCCCTCCCTCGCCCACATCCCTTCTCGTTAATCTGGAGTCTAGCATGTGGATTAGTGGAGACTCTGCAGCACCACTGCTTGACAGAATGCTGCGTTTCCTACAGTGAATATAAGATTACGTCTTTAAGCAGTTTACACTCACAGCTCTGTGAGAATATTGGAGTTAGCACATTGGCTAATGACGCGCTATGCAATCAAAATGCTGGCGCACGCTTTAATGCTGCGGTTTGATGTGAATAAATACACAATTGTAAAATTCTGTTGCGTGTTTTAGAATGAAA